TCCAGGTCTTACTGCATTTCCAGACTCCATCTATTATAATCCTGTCTCACCTGTCAAGTTCTAAAGCACAAATCAAATATTACCTGGGCTTGGAAGTCCTCAGTTTCTAAAGGATAGTAGAGAGAAGTCAGAAAACCTTGGTTTGAATCTCAGGTTAACAATAACTTGGACAGGGCCTCCCCGGTGGCGCAGCGGTTGAGCGCTGGGTTGCGTAGCTGCGCGCAGCCTCTGCAGCGCCGGTTCGATCCCCGGCTGCTCCCTGGCCACTGGAGGAGGGTCCCACATGGCGCGCAGACCTCTCCTGCTGCCCGCTGCTCCCCTCAGCAGTGTACTTCGGTCCTTCTGCCTGCTCTGCTCCCCGCTCTGGCTCTGGTGGTTTCTTTCACCCTCCCGTGCTTCTGACTGTACCCAGTGCTTGTATGAATGTACGTATAAATCAATCAATCAGGGCCTCCCCGGTGGCACAACGGTTGTGCGCTGGGTTGCGAAGCTGACTGCAGCCTCTGCAGCGCCAGTTCGATCCCCGGTTGCCCACCCGGCCACCGAAGGAGGGTCCCACATGGCACGCAGACCTCTCCTGCCGCCCGCTGCTCCCCTCAGCAGTGTACTTTCGTCCTTCTGCCTGCTCTGCTCCCCGCTCTGGCTCTGGTGAATTCTCTCACCCTCCCACGCTTCTGACTGTACCCAGTGCTTGTATAAATAAATAAATAAATAAATAAATCTTTAAAAAAAAAAAATCAATCAATCAATAAATAAATCTTTAAAAAAAAAACAATAACTTGGACAAAATTCCTGAGGGTTTTCTTTATCTTCACTAATGAAATAATCATGTTGGACCTAAACATGCTTCAGCAAATTCCAGATAGCATTCCCTATCTGGTAAAACACTTTTTCAAAGTAGAAAAGGCTATATTTTTATTTTTTATTATCCCATCACCCTTCTGAGTTAGAAGTTATCTTTTATTCTGCACACCTTTGCACTAAATAATGACGTCGCTCTTTTCTGGCATTTGCCACTTACTACTTAATATTTACTTATTTTTGTAACTGACATTATTGTGCGCTCCAGATCACCCTGCAAACCACCCCACAAGCCACCCCGAACCTGAACATTACCACATTGAATTGTGGTTGTTTTTGCATCATTTCCCCTAATTCTAAGATCTCACAGCAAATGTGAGAGCTTGATTGTATTCTGGGGAGCACCTTTCACCTAGCACACCGAGTAATAGCCACCCATGTTATAGGTACTCAAGTCTTTGTTACTTAAATGCATGAATATGCTGGACGTTGTTGGACAGGATCCTGAGTGTTTGTTTTAAAATATACAACTATGGGCCTCCCTGGTGGCGCAAGGGGTTAAGCACTGTCCTATGGAGCAATTCACAACCTCTGCAACCCAAATTCGATACCGGGCCAGCCAGGGAGCAACCTTCATGGTGCAGCAGACCTCTCCTGTCTCGCCCGCTGCTCCCCTCAGCAGTGTATTTCACTCAATCTGCCTGTTCTGTTCCCCACTCTGTCTCTGGTGAATCCTCTTATCCCCTGCATCTCTGGCCCATACCCCAACTCTTGTATGCATAAATAAATCTTTAAAAAATAAAATAAAATATATGACTATGCCAAAAGCCAAGCTAAAACATACATAATTTAACTGGAAGCAGCATTGGTAATGTTCTGAACTGGTGTTGAAATTCAGCATTTCTGATGTTGATTTGTGAGGTACAGTGTGAAATCTTGGGGCAGCTCCATGTTAAAACCCAAATGAAAGAATGACATGTTCTGCCACTTCCCGAGCCTGCTGTATGTTGGGGCCTCTCCATAGAGGTGCTTACGGTGAGAGTGACATGCTTGGACACTTATTTTGGCATTGTCTGGTTCTCAGGTTCCACATGAAGCAACTTTCCCTGCCTTAATTTAAGAAAATAAAGCCAGGCTTGAAACCACCCCAGACGTTGGGGAATGGCAGGCTGCTGAGGGAACAGGGCCCATACGTAGCTGCCTTGATGGTGCCTCTTCCCCAGACCTGTGAGGCAGTGTGGAGAAAGAGTGGCCCTTCCCGTGTCTCACAAAGGCTTGGTGTGGCCCCACAACCGTCCTGCCAAGTAACGTGTGTGATATGTTGGCATGTTGGTTTTCCCTGCTGACTATGACCAGATCATTAAAAAAAAAATCCCCACAAAGACAGAATCTAAAGGGATGTATTAACAATTTAGCTTCTCTGGTTCCCATGGGGATATGGGTTTTTTACTTTTGGAAGAAAATAATATGGCCATCTATAAGATAAAATAAAGATTTTGGAACAGTATGTTTTGCATCTCAGTGTTAAAAATAAATGTGGGACGCTTACACAGCAAGTCTGTTATTCTTCTAAGTAACAGATTTTGGAGGGAGCACTACCTGGAAACAAATGTAACTGCAGGGGGAGGGGGCACACACCAAACCTACAATGATTTATTCAGAGGATGCCTTTGGATTCCTTAGAACAATGTGTGCAACTTGGGTTGCTCCCTGCCTGAACACCTTCACTGTCAGGTGAGGACCAGCCTCCTAAACCTGACCTGTGTGAACTTCCACCTGTCTGCTCTTTGTGCTTATTTCTAACACTGCCTCCCCCCTCCTGTGCTTTAGCCATCACTCTCTCCTACAGTGGGCTGTGCTTCCTATGCCTTAGGCCAGGCACTTTCTCCCCTTGGTGATGCACAAGCCCACCTCTGCTGGGAATTCCACACATCTGCCCCTGCTGCTTCTCCTTTGCTAGGTTCTCTTATCCCTAAAAACTCCAAGTTGAGGTCACCTCCTCCAGGTAGTCTTGTTGGATTCTCCACTCATCACTCCCTCCACAGCATCCTGCACTGTCTGTCACAGCAAAGGCATTGCTAGCTTACCTCTATCCCTCCTGCTGGCCTGTAGCCACCTTCAGGATCATCTTTGTCCCCACCACCCAGTGCCATGCTAGTCACATGATACATGACTACACATGCTTGGTGAACAAGAGGAGTCCAATTTTAAATTTAAAGTAAAGGGGTGAAATCATCCATTTTGAAATCTTACTATTCAGCTCTAAGCTCCCACTATAGCTCTGCAATGAACACATCCTTCACCTTCAAAGTAGCTAACTGGGCATCACCTCTCAGGTAAAATACGCCAATACTACAATTGAATGTTTTCATTTTGTAGTTTTTCTTCTTCATTGAGTTAATGGCATGCCACCCTTTTAAAGTTTAACTTTGAAACAGGATGCACCACTGGCCTTTTGTGTGTACATCCCTCCTCCCTCTGGCCCTACAGATTCACAGGGTAGATGTGAAGACACCTCTGGGATTGGCCCTGGCACCTGCTCTTCTGGTATCTGCCAGCAATGACTGTTCGCCACCCCCACCCCCGCTTGTCTAAATAATCTCCCCCACCCTCATCTATCCTAGCCTTTATTCACTCCTTGAGTCTCAGTTTGAATTCTTTACCTGTATTAGCTTTCCAATACATAATATTGGCACAGAGTTGACTCTCATAACTATTTTTGAACAAACAAATGAGCACCATGTTAAAACATGTTAAAAGGTCATTTGTTGGCAGATATCAGTTGACTTGAGCAGAGTCATTGTAGAGTGAAGACACTTTTCTTGCGCCAGACTGTCCGGCACATTGTAGGAGGTCTCCATCCCACTCACTGAATGTTATATAAATATGCAGCATAAATATATGTAAATGTTGGCTGCACCCCATCTGGTCATTGTAACCTTCAAAACTGCCCCCCAACATGTGATCTGGAACATGGTCCTTAGGCCAAGGCTGTGGGTCATTTAGCTTTGAGCAGAAAAGACTGATCATGCTACCATAGACGGGACGCCCTTCTCGGGCTCTTTCAGATGCCATGTGAAGGGGGAACAGGTGTGTGGACCAGCTCAGCTGCATCACCTCACAGAGAAGGGCGGCTCAAAAGACACATTCCAGTCACGGTCAGGTTGCCTCGCCTCCCTTCTATACAAAGGATAGCTTATTTATATGCATAGTTGAGCATATATTTTAAATTCATTAAGAAGTTTAGACAGATTTTCTTTCAGTATTCCAGACAATCAGTATCCTTGTAAATAAAAATCCATAAAATTGTTTTCTTAGTATTGCATTTTTTTCCCCAAACATGTACAAATAGACTGTGTTATTTGAGTTCCAGGGGCCTTACAATGTTTTTTTACTTGGAAATCAAATTTTATATCTGAAAGGTTAATGGTGAAAACTAATTATGCTATCTGGTAACCAAATGTGTGATGAGACATTTGTCTCTGTAATTAACAGCAAGGAACTTTTATAGTTTCATAAAATCAAATGCTACATAGAGTATTCTGTGAGCATTTGTTTGGACGAGGTGTCCAAAGCAGAGATGTTTATGGATGATATAAAGTTGAACTGAAATGTAATGCAGGTGTCTGTGCATCTCACTGCATTTCTCATTGTTGAAATGGAAGCCAGAAGATTAATAACTTTACTTTGTCATGATAAAATAAGTAATGTGTTCTTGGAACAGTAGTATGGTACATAAGTTACTCAGTAATTCCAAGAATTTATTCTGTTCCAGGAATAATATCCTTAACAATTTATTTTTACAGAAAAAGTTGATGCAACATAATAGCCTATGAAGTTGCTTGTATGGCTAATGGAATTATATCTCAAATATGACTTTACACCTACATATAAAATGTAAAGAACCCCACAAAAATGCAAAGTTAAGGTACAACTTAAAAGTAAGAAGTCAGGAGATGCAGAAGTTAAGGTTCTTCTGTTAACATTAACTCATTCTCATTGCACATATATAATTTTTTCAATTACTCAGAAGACTTTAATGGGCACCTTAATAAGCGCCATGTGAAATACGATAGAGAAAGAGTTGCTGCAGGACGTTAGCTCTGGCATTCTCTCTAAGTTAGCTGTTCCACTGTTTAACTCTGCTCCCGAAGGGAGAGCATGGTGCCCAGAGTAGCATTGGCAGAACTGTGGCCAGATCTGATTGGCTTCCTCTTCTTACTCTGGTCATTTTGGTCAAGCAGTTTATCTTCTCCTTTGTCCACTAAGGGAGGGACCCCGTCCATCATCTTTGCTGAGCTAGAAAGAGGAGGACAATGAGATACGTTCCTTTGGGGAAGCTTTCCTATGAAGATGTGATTGAGCAGAAGCATCCAGTGGCTTCTGCTTGCCACCCACGTGTTTCACAGAAATGGGGGGAGTTTCTTTCACACAAGTGACCACTGTTTATTTACGTCTTACACATTGTTAGTGTTGTTTTTGAGCTCTCAACTGTAGCTTTCATTATATCTGATACCAGAACTTACTTATCTTGGTATTCACTTGGTAGATATTTATTGAGCAGCCATTAGTGCCAAGCTAGAAGAATATAAGATTCACTGGGTTAGGATAGGGAAATGAAGGATTTTAAAGTGAGTAAAGAACGGGGCCTCATCCAACGTCTTAGCAAAGGTCTGAGACCTGTGAGAAGATGACATTTAAGCTGACACCTGGAGGAAAAGCATGAGAGTGAACTAAGGATGTGTGGCGGTCAGGAATTAAACCTAAAGCACAGGGCCGTCTGGCTCTCCATTACAGTCATCAATTAGATTTGGATTTAATCATCCCAAAGGGAAGCAGGGACATTGGTATTTTTAAAACATTGTCCAGGTAGTGCTAATGTGCAGCCATACCTGAGAGCCACTAGTTTAGAACAAGAGGGAGATGTGGCAAGAGCCAACCAAGGCTGGAGAGATGAGAAAGGAACCCAGATCGGAGGGCCTGGTATGTCATTGCAAGGAGCTGATCTCAGCCCTCAGGTGTTGGCGTTCCACTGTGTGTGTCTTGTAATTTGATTTGTATTTTGAAATACAACCTCTGAATTTGGGGTGGGATATACATTGGAGCGGAGCCACACTGAAGGCTTTTGACAGTTGCCCCACTAAGTGATAATGTACACAGAGGCGTGAGAGGATGGTGGGGAGAAGTAGAAAGATTCACAAGTAATTTGGAAGCTGTAATAAGCAGGAGTCATGATTGATTGGCTGTGAGAGGGAGGGGAAAGAAATGAGATGCAGGTTTCTAGGTTGGACACCTGGGTTGCTGCTATTTCTTAAGGCTCTGGGATGGTTGTTGTAAAATACATTTCTGGACACAATTTTAAGATTGTTTTGAAATGTCCAACTGGGGCAATTGAATGTATGGGTCTGGAGCACCTAAGAGGGACAGGAGCTGGAGTCCTCACAGGGAGGACAGGAGACAGGATCTGTGGATCCAGAGAGTGTGGAGAATTACAAGACTGCTAGGCAGTGTCCTAAAAATCTTGGACATTTATGGTGTTTTTTCACACCAGTGGTTGTGACTTACATAAGTGGGTCATGGAATCAGTTGAGCAGATGGTCACCAATACTAGCCACAGTAGTCACAGCAGTAATGATAGCAGTTGTAAGGACATGGACTAGGAAATGTCAGAATGCGTTGCGTGCAGGAAGGATAAATTCATGAAACTTTCGTTTAAGTTATGAGCATGGTGTGTGTGAGAGAGAGAGAGAGAGAAGAGAGATAGGATAGGTGGGAATGTGTTTAGGTCATCATGAAAAGTATATTTCTTGCTGTGAACCATGGTCAAAAAAGTTAAGCTTTTTTGATTCGAGATATTACTGTTTTACCCTAAACATTTCCCATTAGTCTCACTGATGGGAGACTTGGGGTGACCACCATTCTCCACATGCCTTTGGACCCAAACTTAACACTTTCTTGAGATCCTTGGAAGAAAATTCATGTGAATGAGATCCATTTCTCAGCATCATTAATATTATTTACATTAAAGATGAAACTGTACAACAGCATGTGTCTTTAACTTGGAGTATTTAAAAATTTTAACCAGGATGTAGAATTATAAATTCACTTCTCAGTAAAAAGGAAGATTCACATGTCTGTATTAGGATCCTTGTGGAAGTTTCTGTATAGTAGACCAGAGGATGAACATTTCAAATTCTGTTGAAAAGGATTGTCTTTTTCCAGCAGTAAATAAGAACATGTTATCTCTTACTGAATGAAGGCATAATTTTGTTATACTACTCAAGGGACTTGGGTGCATCTCTTAATCTACAATCTTGCTATATTTTTCTATGCCTAGTGTCAGCCTTTGAAGACTTTTGCTATATGATTCGCAGACTCATGAAGACAAATTCTTACTCTACTCTTTCCAAGTTTTAATCTTTGACTTTTATAGAATAGGATTCACTAGGACTGTGTATCCCATTTAAAAGGAAATGGCTCAGCTGTATTCTTCTTTGGTTGAAATAGTTGGAATCCATAAAGAAGGTTTGGTACAATTAACTCATTGTTCCCACCAGGCATGTTAACATAACTAGATGGAGAAGCTGCTAACTATTCAGTAGGTCAAATAGCACATGACGTGACAGCTTCCTAGATAGACAGCTTGATTGCTCTGTGAATGGAGTTGTTTGAAGTTTACTAGAATAGTGAATAGAAGAACCTTGGAGTCTGATGGATCCAGCTAAATCTCTAACCTCATAGTGTCCATTTTCTTGTGGGTAAAATGATAGTGATTATTTCAGCCTCTTATCTTCAGTATTAAACCTAGGTGGAGTGCTTGCTAGAGGGCCTGGCACATAGTACGTGCTCAATAAATGTAACTTTATTTTTTTATTTTAATTTTGTTAAGATTTTTTTTTTAATGCATACAAGAACTGGTGTGTAGGACAGGGGTGCAGAAGGTAAGAGGATTCACCAGAGACAGAGAGGGGAGCAAAACAGATAGAGCTACTGAAATACACTGCTGAGTGGAGCAGTGGGTAAGACAGGAGAGGTCTTGCCATGTGGGTTAGCTCCCTGGCCAGGGATGGAACTCATGCTTCAGTGGCTGGTGATAGCTTGACACCGCTGAGACTTTAACCCCTGCACCAGTTGGGAGGCCCCAATAAATGTCACTTTACTACTTCTCCCCCCACCTAATTTCTTTTATTGATTAAGTGTTTGGATTTATTTATTTATTTATTTTAGTACTTCCTTTCAAAAACACATAGCTTGTAGTGAACTTAAAGAGAAAGTAATCTTAAGCAAGTACACTTAAGCAAGTGGGTTACAAAATCCACCACACTCCAATACTTCCTTTCTTGATTTTTCTTTTGATGCCATCTGTGGACACCTATCACATACTCCTGCCCTTTGGGTAGCATTACAGAAGATGTTTTTTACATACAAAGGTGAAACCAACTTTAGAATACCACTAGGAAAACACTGCATGTAATTCTTTTAGATTATTTTTTATTACAAAAAAGTAACCCCCCTCCAAAGTAACCCATATTCATTTAAAAACTTTTTTTTTAAAGATTTATTTATTTATTTATACAAAGAATTATTTATTTATTTATACAAGCACTGGGTACAGTCAGAAGCGCGGGAGGGTGAGAGAATTCACCAGAGCCAGAGCGGGGAGCAGAGCAGGCAGAAGGACCGAAGTACACTGCTGAGGGGAGCAGCGGGCGGCAGGAGAGGTCTGCGCGCCATGTGGGACCCTCCTTTGGTGGCCCGGGGAGCAGCCGGGGATTGAACCACCGCTGCAGAGGCTGCGGGCAGCTTCGCAACCCAGTGCTCAACCGCAGCGCCATCGGGGAAGCCCCATTTAAAAACTTTTTAGTTAAAATTGTTGGAGACAATTTTAATTTTTCTTGTTTTAAAGTTGAAAACAAGATATAAAGTAAAATGTAAAAGATCCTTCCCCAATCATACTCTCCAGTGTTAACCACTATTCAAAATAGTGTAAAAAAAAAGACTGTTTGTTACAAAAAAGGAAGCTGGAACTATGATATTTAAGGTTGTGCGACATTTTTCCCTAAAACAAATGTCCATTTATTACACACAAATTAAGTGCCTGGTTTTTTGTTTGTTTGTTTTAAAGATTTATTCATTTCTATACAAGAACTGGGGTACAGGCCAGAGGCACGGGAGGGGAAAGGACTCACCAGAGACAGAGCGGGGAGCAGAACAGGCAGAAGGACTGAAAGCACTGCTGAGGGGAGCAGTGGGTGAGACAGGAGAGGTCTGCCATGCCATCTGGGAATCTCCCTGGCCAGCTGCAAATCGAACCCATGCTGCAGAGGCTGCGGAGAGCTCCACAGCTCAGAGCTCAACCCGCTACACCACCGGGGAGGCCCAAGTGCCTGTTTTTTGAGCCAGGCAGTTAACCCTCATTATCCAGTAGTTAATAAAATAATCATGATCTCAGCTGTCACAGAGTTGACAGTTTATCTTGTACATACCTTCAAATGAATATTAAAAGACTTATTTCATTCCTTACGGATAGGTAAAGATATACATAATTTCACTATACTGATACACCATAATTCATTCATCGAATGCTCCATTGATAAATGGTTGGATTGTTCCCAACATTTCACTAGTAAGATGATGCTTCAGTGAATATCCTTGTACATGTGTCATAGGTATTTGTTCAGATATTTCTGTAGGATAAATTCCTATAAGTGGAATTTCCAAATTTTCCTCCAAAAAATTTCCCTACCAACAGCAGATGACAGTGAGTGCGAGCCTACATCTTCAAGATTTGAAATATTTCTCTTGTGAATTACATCTTCATGTCCTTTCCATTGCTGATATGTATCTTCATCATTGACCATCCAATATATTTGGGGTTTTAACTCTTCAGCTCCATTTTTTCTAAAACATTACTTGAAATGGTGGCTTCTAACCTGATCTCTTGACAGCTGGAGTTACACATCAAGGGAACATTTATTTGGGCAATACTATGTATTTATTGTAAAATAAAAATTAGTTTTCCATGATATAATAACAGTTGGGAAAGATTAGTAGATAAACCCTTCGAATTGGTTGGACATTTCTAGTTTTGTCATATCAATCTCTTAAGAAATACTTTCATTTCCTCTCAGAATTTCAAGACCTTCTGTTTTCAGATTTGTCCATTCAGACCTTAACTCCAATTGAGGCAGTTTACCATTGCCCACTTCGTTTTCCTCTCCCCTTAATCTTCCTTGAGTGCTGTTCCTTCTTTTTCCAAAGGTGCCTATAGAAATGCTGGCCATCTTTTATTGACTGGC